GTGTGTGTGTGTGTGTGTGTGTGTGTGTGTGTGTGTGTGTGTTCCTGAACCTTCTGGAAATTGCAGAATTTCCCAAGCTCTTATTGATGTTTGGCTTGTGGAACTCTGCATCTATTTCCATCAGTTCTGGATCAAGCCTCTCTGGTAACAATTGGGCACCAATCTATGAGTATAGCAGGGTATCTTTAGGGGTAGGAGGCTTGTTTATGGTATCTTTTGTGAAGAACAAATGTACAGATTTATGTGTGAGTATGTATTATTATTTGTGTGGAAGCCAAAGGTCAATATCAGGTGTCTCCACAATTATTCTTTGTCTTATTTCTTGAGCTAGTGTCTCTCATATAATTCAACTAGAGTGGATGGACAGATTTTATATGTGGGTGGGGTTCGGCTTGAATTCAGAACATGATACTTGTGTAAGAAACATCCTCCACCCTTCCAATCACACCTATATTGGTTCGCAGAGGTCATTCTCACTTTCTTAGAATTTGATGTTTTCTTTGTTACCCTGAGTCCTCTTACACCCAGCTTCTTACAAAGAGTAATTCTTTTCTGCAATCTTGCTAGCTTCCCTTAGTGAATTCATTTATTCTACTCTATATTTACCTCATCAGTCACTTAGTAATGGACATTTAGGCTATCACTAATCTTTTTATTTGTATTTATTTGCATATTCAACTATAAAAAGACAAAAGAAACAAACAAAAATTTGCAAAGAAAACCATTATTGGTTTCCATATCAATAAACATGTTAGTTTTCTTGGAGCAGGCTGAAGTTGGTTCATAAAAGAGCTGTACCAAGGATCTGTACCTTACCTAGTTTGTAAGATATTTATAACAATCTTGTAAAGTGATTTTATATCTGTATTTGCAATATACAAATTTCTCATTCACTCAAATCACAACCAACACTTTACATTAAAAACTGTATTCTTGAGCTACTCCTGCCCCTCATCAACGGCAGCACTCTGGGGAGTGGCACCTGCTCCTCTCCCAAGCAACACAGTAGAGCTGGCCCTGAAGGTATAGATGTGGAAGAACCATCTCCATGACAAGCAGGAGAACTGAACCCACCCCTTGCTCATCTCCTCATGGCTGAAAGGAGTGAACTAGCTAGGGCAATGCTGGCGGTAAGAACAGGGGAGAACAGGTAGGCTAAAGAATCTGAAACTACGGGGCCCAGAACTAGGGTTCTGGTTGGCCCACCCCAATATCCATCATCTTCTCTATCATCTGTTGGAGTATGGGAAAGGAGAGAGGGTTAGTATCAGTTCTGTGGACCCAAGACTGCAACATCTCCAAGACAGGCAGCAAAGGGCTGTCCAGGATGAGTCCCAGTGAGGACCCAGCATGGACGGTGAGACAAAGACCAATGATTCTTTGTGATGAACGTCTACATGTAAGCAGGTATGGGTAAAGCGGTTTGCTTGGTGACTCACTGTGTCACATTGCAGCTTCCATGATGAGATTTTCCCCTTCTCCTCCACCCCCCGTTTTTCTCTTCAATTTTATCTTGTTTTATTTAGGGGGCAAATGGAATCAGAAGGCATGATGTGAAAGACACAAGGAATAAGTAAATAAATATAAATAAGAGCAAAAAACTGTATTCTCCCTTACTTAGCAATTGACATTAAAGTCTATATCTTTTATCTTTAGTTTATATATTTTTAATTTTTATTAAGATTGAGGGTTTATATTTTTAATAATTCAAGTGTGCATCTTATGTAAATTATTCACTTATAAGCTTCCATCCCCCTATTTCCTTATGTTTGTGGGTGTTCTTTAATGGATGTGAACTTTGAATTGTTTCATTCATTTAATTACCTAAGTTTGTATTGAGGACATGATTTTTCTCTCTTTATGAAAGACTTGAGTAAGTATGCTATTAGTATAAATAACAGCCTTATCAGTGTAATCTCTCACTCTTCAGTAAAGCGTCCACTTCTCTCAGCTTAATATTTATTTAAACTAAAATAAAATTCCAGTTGTTTTCATTCAATATGACATACATTTCTAAATTGTCTTGAGGCAATTGTAATTTGGGTAAATATCTGATGTTTTCCTATTTATAATTTATTAATTTTAATATGCAAAACAATAGATTTCATTATACTTTCAAATTTCAAATACATTTCATTATACTTTTTCTATCAGGTACTCTTTATTTCTATCTCTTATTCCTTTCTCTCTTACAGGGTCTCCCGCTCTCCACAAATCGACCTTTCATGCTAATTTTTTTTAATTTTTGATGTTCTATAATACTTAATGCCTTTTTGTTGCGCTAAATATTTTGTAATTCTTTTTCTTTGTCCTGTACTTTCACTGTGGTATGTTCCTCTTTGAAACTCTATGTAATTTAGCTAGAATGCTATAAAAATATATATTAGCACATTGTCTCTTTGAATCCTGCTTCTCTCACTTCTGGAGCTGATTTTGAAACATGTAGCACTTTATTGCAACACTCTCACAGTGTAGCTGCTAGCTCGCTCTCTACCTCCTGTCTCATAGTGAGTCCTTCAGCCTTAAGGTCTCCTTTAGAGCTCCTATAGCCTGTTCTTTTTATCAGCTCTTTCTGAAGGCATGCTTGAACCATTGCTCATCTGCCAAATAGATCTGTCTCATGTCTCAGGAGGGCTGCCCCCACTTATCTCAAGGGGTCTCAGTCCTCTTGTAACATCTAACATGCTGTTGAGCACTTGGAAGAAATGCTTCCACTGTTCCTTGTCTAGGATCTCTAAGATCATGCTGATATCAGCTAATCCCACTAGGTTGCTTGCTCTATTCTATGAAAGCAGTGTTGTTTTCTGCATTTTATTATCTTTGCATTAATAGACATGCAAGAAATGAGATTGTAGATTTAAAGAAAAGTCAGGAATTATCAAACCTTCAGGCTTGTACCATTAATTTTCCATCAGCTTCATGTTTTTCATAGTAGATAAGGTTTTACTTTGCTGTGGAAATTTAATAGACTAAAGGCTAAGAGTAGTTACCTCCCCAAGGAAAATAGACCACACCCATAATGAGTCAAGATAGTTTCCTCAACACTTGTATCTATTAGCCATCCCATAACTGCAATTTCTACATATCGGACTAAGAACTAGAGAACATGTCAGTAGCCATGTGGTCCTTTATGAGTCAGTTTCTTCTAGAATATTTCTCTTAGAGTCATTGATCAAGTTCTAAAATTCTGCCACATGTAGCAATCAGAGGGAAAAATGCTTTTGCACACATTTTACCTAAAGAAACAATCCTCAAAGCATTTAGTAACAAATATTTTCTTAGCCCCCATAAGTACTATTCACTATTTAGAATAGAAGAATTATGAAAGACTTGCACAGACATTGAGAATATGCAGGGTCTACATGGAAAATAGTATTTCAGTACTGACATTGCTACTCAACATGTAATTCAAAATTATGTGAATCCTTCAAGTGAAAGAAATACTATTATTTGTGAGTATTTAATAAATTAACGTGACATACAGTTACAGAAAATTAACAATTAACTCCTGAACTGTTTTTTTTTTTTTTTTTTGATTTGTGGGCATTGATTTGACCAAGAGGTGGGGGTGGTGGCATTTCATGAAGAACTAGTACTGTGTACAAATGTTCTGTAGCAGGAAATGAATTGATAATTATGAGAGTTTAAAAAAAGACCTAAAAGATTTGGTTTAAGGAAATAAAAAGAGAAAATATTTGGAGTTCAGGATCAGAAGATTTTTTTTTAAGTTACAATTGAATTTGTAGGCTAAACCTGTTTGAATCCCAACAATAAATGTCATCTACAAAGAACTTCATGATGAAGTAAGAAAAACAAATCACAAAAAGCACAAAATGTTTTATGTGAGCTTAAGATTTTATGCTGAGCCTCATTTGGCTGTCCTTAATATGTTTGGGGGTCTGTCTTAGTTATGGTTTATATTGCTTTGAAGGGACACCATGACCATGACAACTCTTATAAAGGAAACAATTGGGTCTGGCTTACAGTTTAGAGGTTTAGTCCATTATTATCATGACAGGAAGCATGGCGGCACTCAGGTGGATGTGGTGCTTGGTAGGTAGCAGGAGTTCTACATCTGCCTCTGAGGGCAGCAGGAAGAGAAAGAGACACTGAGCCTGGCATGAGCATCTGAGACCTCAAAGCTACCCAGTGACACACTTTCTCCAACAAATCCATATGTACTTCAACAAGGACACACCTCCTAATAGTTCCACTCTCTATGGGCTTATGGAGGTTATTTTCATTCAAACCACCTCTGGGGCTAAGAAATGAGAGTTACTTTATTAAAAGCCCATACACTGTCCAAATTATTTTGCAGCATGGAAGTGATGCTTTGGAACTTTCTAAATGCTAAATCAGATATGAAGTTTCACCTTTTTATTTTCAAATATTGGTCATATTTTTGCATCTGAATTCTACCTTGGGTGGTGATAGCAGAGCCAAGAAGTAACATAGCATATCAGGCTCTAGGTTTATGAGATTTTGATATCAAACAGTTGGTACTTTTTGTGATGGTTACTATCTATAAATCTGTTGACTAAAATCTTTAGGTAGCATTGGAGTTACCAGTTCAAGACCAGACAGGGCTTAAGTAAAGCGTCAAAGCTGGCCAGAAAAGAATAGTTTTATGTGTGTTGTGCTTCCGGTTGCTCTTCAACACCATTACCTTGTGCTTTCCACCAGGTGGTTGACCAGATTGTTACCTTGACTTCTGACCTACAGCTGGAGGATGAGATGACTGACAGCTCCAAAACAGACACTCTGAACAGTAGCTCCAGTGGCACAACAGCTTCCAGCATAGAGAAGATCAAAGTCCAGGCCAATGCCCCACTCATTAAACCTCCAGCCCACCCATCTGCTATCCTCACAGTTCTGAGAAAGCCAAACCCGCCACCACCTCCTCCAAGGTTGACACCAGTGAGGTGTGAAGAGCCTCAAAGAGTGGTGCCAGCCATCAATCCTGTAAAGACCAATGGCACCCTTCTACGGAACGGAGGCTTACCAGGCAGAACCAACAAAATTCCAAATGGAGACATCTGCTGCATACCCAATAGTAACTTGGACAAGGCTCCAGTGCAGTCTCTGATGCACAGACCTGAAAAGGACAGGAGTCCCCAAGCAGGGCCTCGGGAGCGAGTACGGTTCAATGAAAAAGTACAATACCATGGCTATTGTCCTGAGTGTGAGACCCGGTATAACATAAAGAATAGGGAGATCCATCTGCACAGTGAACCGGTCCATCCACCTGGAAAGCTCCCTCACCAAGGTCCTTCCTTCCCTCCTCCACCTCATCTCCCCACTTTCCCATTAGAAAATGGGGGGCCGGGAATAAGCCACAGTAACAGCTTCCCCCCTCCCACGCCTGCAGCTGTGCCTCCTCCCACTGCACCAAAACCACAGAAGACCATCTTGAGAAAATCCACCACTACCACAGTGTGATGTCTGCCATTTAAGGAAACTTTTTGTTTGTTTTTAATTTTCTATATGATAAACGTAAAATGATAAGTAATGAGCACTTTCTACTCAAGCAATAAAAAGCCCAAATATATTAATCTGCATTCAACAAAGTGGCATAAAAATCACCTGGTAAGTATGCAGAGTGCTGCTTCTGTACTGGGTGTACATTGTTTTACATGTTCCATCATCAGAAACTGGCAAATAATGAGGAAGTATGAATGCATTTTATGTTTTGCAATTACCTATGACAAACTGTGACCTCCAGATTCCAAGTATTTTGATTTATTATAAGAGATGGGCTGTGAAATATTTTGATTTGTTGATAAAGCCAGGGCAATTCATTTCATTCATGCCTAACTCATCTATGCATTGATGATGTCATAACCCTCCCTTTGATCTAATGTTTTCTAATAAGAATTTTAATACCGAAGGACTATTTTATTATTTTTCTAAAGATGTTTGTCAACAATTTTGCATCATGAAATGCTGAGGACAATACCAAAAAGTTTATTTTCTATACTATACAATTATGACACATGTGTTCAAATATATATGTAATAAAATATTTTGAGCGTTGGAAAATTATGTCAATAAATAATAGTAAATAATGAGAAAGCCTAATGTTCCTGAGGACTAAAATGAAACAGGGGTTCCTTTAACCCCATGTTATCAATTATGGAAATGGGAAGCAAATCCCAAGAGTTTGGACAAGATGACACTGACTGGACATCAGAATTTCTAGACAAACTCGTTCAGCCCATTTGGTAAGTACGTCCTTCCAACAGTTTCATATTGTACACCTCCATTATGGTACATCTAGAACCATCTGTTGAAAGCCTTGGATGTTGTCAAGCCTTTTTTCAGGACACATTGTAGAGCAGAACATTGAAAGGGAGGGAATTTTGCCCACTGCCCACTTGAGCAAGCTCAATGTTCCTGAAAAGACATACATTAATAGGAGGGAAAATGGTGGTGTCTCTGGTCACAGGATATGTTCAGCAATGGCCTTTTCCCTTTTCTCTTCTGAGTTAAAGATGCCAGGTTTTGTTTGGGTTTGTTTTGTTGCTGATGTCCCACATAAGAATCTTTTTCTCCTACCATCAAATACAAGTCTTTCTCCTCACTAGTATTTGTCAACTTAAGAAATTTACCAAATCATGCCTCAGTCAGTTCCCAGCTGCACTGATTTGAACTGATGTGATGTTTTGCTTTGGAGCTAAAACTTATTTATCTACCACAAAATCATTGTGAGGATTGTGCCAAGGCTGGGGAGGTCTTTTAAGAGGTAACAGTGAAGAGAAACATGTTGATGGGAATTATTACATCAAGTGATCTGAAAAGTGTAGTGACATTTTTAAATATTTGCCTTTTAATTTCAAAAGTGTGCTGCTAAAGGGAGGTAGTTTTATGATTTGGAATACCCTTTTAAACAGCTTTCTATTGAAATATGACAATGTATTTTTGGGAAGAATATAGAAAAATAGCATTTATTATTTAAATGAATGATCGAATGAACAAAATAAATGAGGAACAGATAATGTCCTGTTAAAAATTTACTCAGTGTGCTATTTTATCTTTTTTTGTGTGTGTGTTGTACATGAGGGTGATTTAAGCTTAATAAACAAATATTTCAGAAAGATATAAAACAATAATGAAGAAAGACAATGGTCTGGTATTTATTAACTCTATGATCAGTGTATTTAAAAGACACCACCTAGGTAAATAAATAATTGACTTGCTGAAAACCAAATAATGTGTTCTTAGCTTTTTACACCATGATTTGTCTTGAAATAAAAATTATTGTAGTTACATCACCATTTTAGATTTAATATATCAGTGACTTTTACACTCCAAACTAGTGTTAGCTCCTGAATTTTATTTTCTTCCTTTAGTACATCTTCTTTTCAACGAGTTACTAAGAGCTAACAACCACCATATGCATTCAGATTTTGACCCATGTCAATGTCTGGGAACCATGTTATGTCTCAAGGTATCACAAAAATTCACAGAACTTTAACATGAATGATAAAAACCCAGAGACAGATATGGGAGTACAAGCTTCAAGCTGAAGATCTGAGATGCAAAGCAGCCAAACCAGTAGATCTTATCTCTACTGAGCTGAAATGGTAATCCTGTCTCCAGGAATAATCAGATGCAAAAAGCTCTGAGTTCCTGTCTCCTCCTCCTTATATTTCTTTTTCCACCCAGCCATAACACTCCTGTCTTCACCTCTCTAGTGCTGGGATTAAAGGCCTGTGATCCCAAGTGCTAGGATCAAAGGCTTGAGCTCTGTTACTCTTTACTCTTGTTTAGGCCAGAGTGACCTTGAATTCAGAGAGATCCATCTGCCTGTCTGCTGAGTCCTGGGATTAAAGGTGTGTGCCACCACTGCCTGGATCTACGGCTTGCTAGTATGGCTGCTGGGATTAAAGCTGTGTCTCACCATTGCCTGACCTCTATGGCTTGTGGTTAGCTTTTCATCCTGAACCCTCAGGCAGGTTTTAATAAATCATAAATAATCTAACACCACACAGAATAGAAAACTTTCTTCTAGTAAACTAAATTGAATAAGCTGGATCATTGAAATTACTTGAATAAGGACATTAGCTTATATCCACAGGAAATACCTTAGAGATCCTAATCCATCTCTCTTCGTCAAAATATAGAAAAGTTTCCCCATAAAAGATCATACATAGTCTTCTGTTTAATTGGCGACTGCATCTGTTCCTAAATCAAAATAGTTATAACTAAATACTTGCTAGAAAGCTGAGTCAAATTTCACCTAAAAACTTAAAACTTTATGGTCCTTGACTTATAACACACACAAACACACACATACACACACACACACACACACACACACACACACACAATTTTAAAAAATAATTTATTAACCAACATAAACAGTAAAGTGCCATCAAGACTTTGAGTATATTTTAAATCCGTGTTTTTTTTCTTTAACATATAATACACTGTACCAATATGAGTTTTGCAGAAATGATAAATTTGTCACATCTACTGGAACCTGTACTTTGAACCCATAGAAATCAGTAAACTATGTAACTAAATTAATGTAGAGCATCATAATATCTCCCTGGAGACATATAATTAAAATGTCACTAATGCAGAGCAGTTTTTGTAACCAGTTAACATTGCTTGCCAAATTGAAACATGGGCATGTATACTCTGCTTACCATGGATCAGAGCATTAGGAAATATAATAATCATTCTTCTTTCTAAAAAGAAACACACAGATAGGAATGCTTTATTTTCTTTTAAGCAGCTACTTGTTAGGATATGCATTGTGAACTTCTATTTACATAGAATTTTCTGTAAGGGAAGCTGTAGCCACGCCTACTTAGGGGCTGGCTACAGGTGTACCTGACCACACTTGTGAGGGCATGGTCAAGGTGACATAGTGTGACTGCTTTGCTCTTTCGGTTTCACTTTGGTACTTGCTGTACAGACTGCTGCCACGACGGCTGGCTAGGCCGCTCTGTAAGTAAGGCTTTTCCCTATTAAATACCCTTATATTTTTACCTGACTCCTTATTTGTAATTTCCCACTATAGTTTTCTATAGAGTTTATGGCTCTTCTCCATTGAAGGTGTGGTTCCTGCTGAGTGTAGCATAGCAGACACTGCCTATGATAACAGCCCTTCGTGGTGCAGTGCCAAAATATATTTCCATAGATGTTGTAGCTATTAATTAAAGCAGAGTGTGAATTGCTCTGCTTTTTCAGTATAGACAAGTATTTTCAAAATTTAAAAGCTACTTAATAATAACAAAAAAATAGAAAAACTCTTTTTAACTCCCAATATTTGTAACAATTTTATAAAGGAGTCAGTTTATGACTTTTAGATGATTTCTTCGTATGAAACCAGGTTTCTCTGTGTAGCTTTGGCTGTCCTGGAACTTGCTCTGTAGATCAGTTTGGCCTTGAACTCACAGAGATCTGCCTTCCTCTGTCTCCTGAGTGCTGGGACTAACGGCATGCAGCACCATGCTCAGCTAGAACATTCTTAAGCTAAGTAATATACTTTCAGAAAAATACAAAAATATATAAAACTATAGAAACTTCCCCTCCCCCAATTTGTTATCATTTTTTTATGTTTCCTCATTACTTTACTAATGCTGGGAAGAAATTAATTTGTTTGCAAAGGTAGCTTAATTTATCTATTGGAGGCACTTAGATTGGAAGCATAGCTTCATTGCTGTTGTTCAAAGAGTAGAGCAAGAAGACAGTTTTTTATGGCTTTCTTCGGACAGATCAGTATTTGCTTTTAACATGATCAAGGCATCACCTATGGGGCATAAGATGCTATTCAGAGCCTTTTATCTGTGGGGTTCAGTTATGGCTTTTTTTTTTTTTTGGAGTTCTGAGAACAAATCCTGAGTAATGGCATTCTTAGTTGTATGTAATCAAGTCAGGAGACATTTCTTGCCTGGATTCTACATGGCTGAGATTCATAATGATCCTGAGACTTCTGGGTTTTTTCTTTCTCTCTCTCCCCTTATTCTTTCTGGTTAACATATTTTTTCTATAATGTACTATTAAAGCTGAAGCAAAATATTGTGCTACAATTTTCTTCACTAAAATACTGATGATTTCAAAGTGAGGAAATGATTTATGAGCAACAGAGTATTTTTTTTTTCTAAGTCACATCACATAATTAGGTAAAGTGCTTGGGCTATGACAATTACCAGGCATTATCATAAAATTGCATGGCATTTTCTGGGTCACTGTGTAGCTTTGGCACTACAATTAAGTTCTCAGAGTAAACACCTCAGTGTTTTAGAGTCACCCAACTTTGATGACTCTGGAATAATGACAGGCATGATGCAATTGTTAAGGCATGTGGCTGTGATGAACATACATTGCAGTTAGCTTCACCTTCGTGAAACAACGAATATGTGGGTGGTGTTCCATTAACTTAAATTCATCTTTCCTGACTCTTATGGAAGGAGTATATTTATTTCTGGGCATTATTTTTTGTTGGCAAGACTCCTCATGCCTTTTTCATCCCCAAACATCAACATTTAATTTTGCTCTTCACAGCCCTGAAATCTGCACAACTGTTCTTTATTCTGAATAGCTATTTTGATGCTTGGAAAGGGTTTATCTAATGTTGTTTTGACATTCTTAATGTGTCTGATCTTTACAGGATATAAATGGGGATTTCAGATAATTTAGCCACCATCTGAACATCTGAACGGAATGAATCCCTGAATAATGCAAGCCTCATTTTCTCATGTATAATAATATCAGTGTCAGTCGTCAGTTCTTTCTCTAAATTCAAACACTCTTATTATGAGTCTTTCTTCGAAAAGGTCTGATTCTATAGTATTTATGCTGTCACCCCTAGGTGTGTTATTTTGTTCACTAGTGTTTCATTTGTGAATTTCATCTCTTGAACACTGACCCCAAGAATTAAAATAGCTCTGCTTCACAGTGGGACCTTTAAGGAACCAGTATGATACAACCCTCTCTAATCAGAGTTACCATTCTTTTGTTATGAGACAATAGATGCAATTCCCTTCAATCTTAAAATATAACTGTTAATTTTAATAACATCAAAGGCAATTTTGGACCAGATATGTGTAGGGCGAGTGGGTGCAGGTTCATGGCAGCAAGACATGTGATACCAGCTATGTCAAGGAGGCTTACTTTCTGCTGACTACTCCTCAAAATGTTTTGTGTATATTAATTTTCATTTTTCACACCATTTCTTCTCCATAACATCTTGAAATCTTAGACATGTTATTACCTAAATTTTACAAATGAGCAAGCTGATATTGAAAACCCTGTGCCTAAGATCTTAGTCTTTCATGCCAAAATGTTAAAATTGAAAGTCAGGTACATGTCCTTCA